GAGAATGGCATCCAAAAGGTCCTCACTCCTGTCCAGGTGCCTTCCAATGTGAGCTGCCACTTTACAGGCAAGGCAGAACACACTGGTGTGAGTTCCCATGTGGACGCCATTGTTACGCACATCGGGCACACCCCCACAACAGGTCATTATCGCAGTTTCTTTCGCGCTCTGAGTGGACAAGAGGGGTTCTCAGAGGATGGGGTCAAGGCCAGGAGGCCTAGCCGAGCTGATAAACAACTCATCAGCTCTGGGGGGTACATCATTATGATGTCCAAGCCAGGCTCAAGCTGGGGGCTCACCTCGCAGGCTGAGGGTTCTCCTCGCCATAGTTTTGCCCAAATTTCACGTCTTTGGAGTTGACATGCTGGGCATGCCGGTGTCGACCTGCTCCATGCTAGTAACACGTTACGGTGGTAGGAGTGTACATTGTACAGCTATCTTCGCTGAGGTTTCGGCCTCGCATTGTATAGCCGGGCTTTCTTAGCTTGCTCCTTGGCCAAAGTGCGCAAGGCGGACCTAACGGCTGCCAGCGTCGTCAAAGTCAAAAAGACGGCCAGCGCCGCACGCCAGAAGCCAATTCCTTCCTTTGAAAAGTTCGGGGTCCCCTAGTCCTAAACCCCTTAGGTCTGCGAACCACCCCTTGGGACTACCCGATTTGAGCGGCTCTGACGCAGCCCGTGTGAAGTCAGCGAATGCCCTATACAGCCTGACCGGGAGATTGGCCTTGTTAGGACACTCCTTGGGAATCATAATTTCCATAGAAAACCCTTCAACAAGCCTCTTCTGGGAGGTCCCAGCTATTGTGAAACTTCTTCGAGCTGTGCCTGGCTATGATACAATTTTTCACAATTGTGTGCACGGCGGACGCCGAAACAAGTCTACTAAATGGTGGAGCACCCATGATATATGTCAACCCTTGGCGGCCAAATGCCCCGGAACGCATCGTCATGCCTCATGGGTGCCACGTGTTGTGAATGGCCAAGCGGTATATCCCACCAAAGAAGAAGCAGAATACGCTAAGGAACTCTGCGCACGGGTGGCCGCCTTGCTCAGGGATAGCCTCTGTCCCGTCCCGCCGCAACAGGCGCTTTATGGCCCCGCCTCGGCAATCTTGCGCTGCGTCCTGGAGCACCAGCCTCGGAGAGTTCAGCCCCTCGTCCCGGAGTATGCGCATTACGACCCTTGATTCCACAGCGCAGTCTTACCCCAAAAGCAGCCGAGTGGTACGCAAGCAGATGGTGCAGTGGGGACACGTTCGGGCTTGCGTTGTACCGAGCCAGCCGTCGGAAATCCTATCAAAAAGCTTGCCACCCACTTGGTCGTGGGCTACAGAGAGTGAGAAAGAAGGTCTGCGATACCAGAGCCATGAGCTTCACACTGAAGGGAAAGTCTGTGGTGTATTGCAACAGACTCATGGTTTGCAAATGGTCGAAGTGGTTTGGATAGGGGTCCCTAGGTCGGTTGAGTCTTTTCTTGAAGATGCCGTCAAAACCGGCCACTAGGTCCCTCTTCGCACGTGTCGAGCGCCAAACCTTAGACACCCTTGTTGATAACCTCTCTTGCGTCCAGAGTCAGAGATGCGAATAAGGGTCGAGAAAAACTGAAAGAGTGGGAGAGCCGCAAGGCAGACCTTGCTGATGAAGAGCAAGAGGTAAGGAAATCCATGGATTGCGCTCCGATTAGATCCTCCGTCCCAAGGCGTGCTGCTCGAACATCTTCTTGGAGAAATGAAATACCCAGACCGGCGCTTGGTCAGGGACATGAGGAATGGTTTCCATCTGACGGGATGGATGCGCGAAAAACATGTTTTCATAGGCTAGACCGCCCAAATCAACTGTGCAAATGCAGCTTGCCTTGGCGCCGGCTGGGAATAAGGTCCTCACCGCGAAGCTCCGCATGGGGGCCATAGACAAGGCAGCGGAAAAAGCTTGGAAGGAGACGAAAGAGGAGTTGGCGAAAGGGTGGATCCGCGAGCTTGAACACCCCAATCTCAATGACTTCATGGTTGCCAGGCGTTTTGGAGTGTTCCAAGGCGAAAAATGCAGAGTCATAGATGACGGGAAAGCGGCAGGCATCAACAGCACAGTTGGGCTGCCGGAGAGGTATAGGTTGCGCGATGTCACCTTCCTGTCCGCGTTGCTCGTCAGGGCCATGGAAGATCCCAGGTCAAAAGGGACAAAGTTGGTGGGGCGCACCTTGGACCTCTGCTCTGCATACAAGCAATACGGTGTTTCGCCAGCAGACAGGTCCCAGATCCTGATCGCTGTCAGGGACACAGTCTCCGATGCCATCTTCACCCCTGTGCTTTGCCTTTCGGCGCTACTGGTTCAGTATCGGGTTTTCTTAGGACGTCGGCCTCCACGTGGGCGTTAGGAGCGATGCAGATAGGGTTGTGTTGGGCCAATTATTTTGATGATTTCCCAACCTTCGCATTGACCGACGACCCTTTTTGGTTGAAGAATGCGCCGCTTTGGTAATGAACATCTTGGGGATTGATTTCGCGACAGCTGGTAAAAAGGCTACCAGCTTCAGCGAGTCTTGCAAGGGCCTGGGGCTCATCTTTGATCTTGACAAATTCGGCGAAGGAGTAGTGACCTTGAGGCATACTCCCGAAAGGGTCGAAGAGTTACGCCAGGCCATTGATCGGACCCTAGCGGATGACAAGCTCTCTTCCATGGACGCCGAAAGTTTGCGGGGACGTCTCCACTGGTTTTCGAGCTACCTCTTTGGTCGGAAGGCCTGCAGTGCCATCAAGGTGGTTGGTGCCAGAGCCAGAGGGCATGACCTAGGGGTTCGCCTTAGTCCCTTCCTTAGGGACGCAGTAGTTTTCCTTAAAGACCATGCCTTGCACGCCAAGCCAATCACCCTCGGCCCCAAATCCTTAACGACTTACTTGGTCTTTACTGACGGCAGTCTCGAAGGAGATGAAGCGTCGATTGGGGGTATTCTGTGTCATCACCAGGGTCACCCTCTTTCCTTCTTTTCCGAAAAACTTGATCAAAGCCTAGTTAAGTCCCTGAAGGAAAAGTCTGCGCACCCCATTTTCCAAGTCGAACTCCTCGGAGTTTGGGCAAGCCTGAAAATTTGGGGAAAAAGGGTATGCGAATCCTTTTCAATCATATACCTTGACAATGAAGCTGCCAAAGGCGCCCTGGTGAAAGGGTCCTCCTCGACCCGCCGTGGAAATTCCCTCGTCGATTCCATCTTAGAAATGGAAGAGGGTCGCTGGATTAGGGCGTGGTTTGCTCGTGTGCCCACCTCGGCAAATCCAGCGGACCCCTCAAGCAGGGGATGCGATGAGCACCTTCTTAGCTCTGGGATTCCCCGTGTTCGTGTGGATGTTGATGCCTCAGTGCTGCACTTGTCTTGGGGATAGGTGCGGGCTGCACCTTCAGCCAACATCCACGCCACCGACTCTGATCCAACTTCGCTTGTGGCAGCACGTTCTCAAGTTTTCCATCCAATTTTCGAAAACCTTTCATTTTGGGTTTTCATCACGACACTTGAAATGCTTCTTGGTCATTTGTGTTCGTGAAGCTCCTGGCTCATCTCAGCTAGGAGAAATTTTGCTTTTACCCACCCACCCACACCTGGGGGATAGGTGCGGGCTGCACCTTCAGCCAACATCCACGCCACCGACTCTGATCCAACTTCGCTTGTGGCAAAAATTGTGCGCCTTTGCGGATTGATTGAATCGATTTGATTTCCAATTTTAGTAAGTTGGAATATCAAATTCTTTTTGGATTGGATAAATACTTGATTGATACGTGCGCTCATGGATGAATAAATAAGACATGATGATCTTTTACTACTGGAGTGTCAGTGTGGCGACACTACCCCTCTACTCAGATCTGACTTCTTTGGCGTCGTTACAGCTGCCTGTGTGCATTCACAGTTGCCCGGCGCAGTGTATGTAAGTGCAACCTCCTGTCAGGATGAGATGAGTACTGCTTGCCTTGAGCCAGGAATTGCGTTGACAGAACTTTGAACTCTGTCCCTTGACTTATCAGGTACTTGAGTGCGGCAATGTCTCACATAACAGCTGCTGAAACAGGTAGCTTCATCTGAAAAGCAGATGTGTGAACCGAGCTTGTGTTGAGCTGGTGCGATAGCGCGCTTGCGAAAAAAAAGTGTTCACCTTCCTTTTACGCCAGGTCAAACATCCCAGGCAGACATCCTCCGTCAGGAACTTTCACAGGGCTCCCAGCTGATGTGAACTGTCATTGGAATTGCTGCTTGCGCTTGTTTGAAGGTACATGAGCGTGTCTCACACTTCTGCTTCGTCTGAGTACCAGACGTGTTGTAGCTTAACTTGAGCGGTGCGACAGTGCGCTTGCGAAAAAAAAGCTGATGGTGAACCTCCAGCCAGGCACCAGTTAGTGCGTCCGGGCCGACCAGAAATGCTCACAGCCCAGAACCCAGGAGGAGCTCACCGAGCACAACTTCGAAACACATTGATCGCAAATTGGAGCAAGCCAGGGTCGATGACCGCTACGAACTCATGCTCGACGAAATCGTCCAAGAAGTCAAAATGGGGCGGACGAACGGGCCATTCATACAACCAACACATTGGCAAACCAACGCGATACCGCCACACAGGTACCCCCATTTACACCCCTTACAGCTCCCACAGACTGAAAAGACAGGATCAGACGCGGTGAAGATTGGCGACGGAGCGGGCGTAAGTCAACGTGCATCAGGCGCGACCAACCGCTCCATCATACACCCAATCACTTCGCAACTTTGGCATCATACACACACCAACACTTCACTACCCACACCAAGACATACACATCTGGGGGCACGACCATGACGGAGCGTACCGCCAACTGCCCCTCGACCAACCACAGCAAGCCTACGTCCTACTCCACACTCCAGAGGGCCCGACTTTGCGGAGCCACAACGTTCTCTTGTTTGGTTCATCCGCCAGCGTCTGGAGTTACAACAGATTTGGGGACGCCGCTGTCGCGGTATCCCGAATCCTACTTCTTTGCCCCACCATGCACGATGTGGATGATTACGAAAGCACCAAGCTCACCCCGAACGCCGACTCGCGTTTCCAATCGTTCGAAGATTTGAATGGCGCCTTGGGCAGCTTGGGCCATAACATGAAGACCAGCAAGAAACAGCCACCGGCATCATCGCGCAAGATACAGGGCGTCATCATCAACACGGACGCCCAACGCATCACACTCACACCGTGCCCACAACGCGTACGACGCGTGAGCCAGGAAATCCGACAATGTCTACTACATAGATCAATTGGACCCTGAAAGAGCACGGAGGATGGCTGAGCAATTTCCTCACCGGACGGCTGTTCGGCAAAGTAGGCCGCGCACCCTTGAAAGCCATATTCGCCATGGCTCACAGCAATAGATCCCAACTGGACAAACCCACCAGATTAGCCTTTTATGCGCTCCTCAACATCATCCAACACTGCAAACCCATTGCAACTACCACTACTCACTACAGATTACACAGTCGTATTTTGCCATCATATACACCGACGCATACTACATGGCAGACCATGTCCGACTTCGTCCAGGTGATGACGTGCCCGAGAACTAGACTACACCATAGTGGAGAATGGCTGGGGTGTAGTAATTTTCCCAACGGGGGAGACAGCTGGGCTTGGTATTTTCAAGGACGGCTCCCCCAGCAGATCCTTCAACAGTTCAGCTCCACCACAGCCTTCATATACCTGCTGGAGGCCTGGGTCGCCATTATCGCCCCTTTGATTTGCGAACCTCTCTTGGGCAACTTCCACATCCAGTGCTGAGAATGAGGCTGCCCGTCATGCGCTCATCAAGAGAGTAGGTAAGTGCCAGCGACTGAATTGCCTGATCAGTGCACATTGGACGTGGCGCAACCGTAGGGGCATCGCGCGTCGCATTGAGCGAGTGCCGACCAAAGCAGCAGGATCGATTCACTCCTACCAGGACTGTTATGGTCCGACATACACCTGCCCCAAGAGGCCATCACAGAACGATGCCTCAAAGTCATACGAGACACGCAGGTTGCCTCTTCACTAGGCTTCGAAAACATACCTGGCATGGAGGCGGTCCATCAAAATTTTGGTCATTGGTTTTGACTGGTGTCCGGAAACTACGACGGGAAATCGAACGCCAGCGACGGGAATGTTCAATTTCTCGTCCGTCTCAGTTATACAAAGCGCATCAAGAACAGCCGAGGTGCACCTTGAAAGAAGGAGACAGCACTTTTTGGTGCACCTGATTATCAAACAGGGGAATATCGCCACTGCATCAGACATGGTTGGAAAAGTGCGCGCTGCGCGCCCCTGCTGCTTGCATGCCCTTTGGTAATAACTACGGGTTTGTTATTCCTTGTTTGTGCATTTTAGAATTGTCAAATCTCACAAGCCTTGCAAGCACCAAAGTGTCCGAGATGCAGAAAAATTGGCTAGTTTTTTGAAAAATCTTTCTAATTTTCCGTGTTTCTCTGGCTTGTTTTCTATTTATCTCATCTGGGGTGTTTTAGGTTTGTTTTTCTTTTTTTTTGCATGTTCCATTTTTGTTCGTTTTCTGAATATTCGGATTTCCATTTGTTCGTTGTTACGGACTATTTTTTGGTAGTCAATTTTGCATTTGTTGGCTAGCTGCATTGTTTTCTTAACTCCATGTTCCAGGATTTCCAGTGTTTGTTGAATACGTTGAATACCGGTAGCAAAAACCAACTTTTGACAATGCTTGGGCGCATTGCTGTGGCCCATATTTTGCAATGTCTTGGCCGCGCACTCTTGGTCGAAGTGTGGCCTCGAAATTTCACGTGTTTTGCCCGCCGGTTATGAGCATACATCCGATGTTTCGTGCCATGTGTGTCGCAGCTTGCAATTTGTGGAGCTACATTGCCTGTTTGGATGGCACCGGAAGCGTTTGAGCCACCTCACAGAGCGCAGCCAGACAACACAAAAAGAAATAGATCCATGGTGCAAAGCATGAGTTTATGCCGTGTAGGGAGTACGGTCCCGAAGCAAGCGTACTAGTACAGTTGCAATTCAAAACTAAAACAGCATGCGGATTGCTAACAAACTTGCATGAATACCCACACTTGTGATGAGCTTAGCACATGATCCGATCTTTCATCTCGCAGTTGTTTTTTCCTGCACCTCCACCGCAACTTGGCTGCATGTTTTGTTAAGTAGGTCCGCCGTTTGCGGCGTCGGTTATGCAACGACAAGAGCCTTACATGCTGAGCGGTTTCAAAATCACAGGGTCAGAAGGATGTCCCGCATGTTGACCGGCATCGCTCCAAAATGGTATGTCAATTTTGGCATGTTTGAATTTCATGATGATACAGTTGCACTTACGCATAAGCGATGGAAGGGCATGGAACGTCCATTGTGGCTAGCAGGGGCATACGTCAATCAGCACAGAGGATGGACGTACGTCAGGATTTCACCAAACCTCCACACAGCTACATTTTCAGTTTTCAAGTTGAGGTGACGTCCGATCTTCTTCCGTAAGATGTCATATTGGAGTTGAACATTTCATGTGTGGGATGCCTGATCACATCCAATCGTAGCTGAGGTCGTACGTGGCCAGCAGGCTTGGATGAAGGTAAGTTAGCGGTAAGCTGTTCTGGGCATCATTCCAGTGCGCCACCTGCACAGTCTCGTGTCGGTCTTGATGCGTTGGGTTGGCAAGGGCAGGCAGTTGCGGATGCTTTCGGTTAAGTTGTGCAGTCCTCCAATGTCACGAACTCATTAGACATGTGCTGCTGCTTCGCATTTGTGTGCTGCAGCTTTCCGGGCGAGCTGCTGTGGATCCCAACATCTCTGAAATACAGGGATTGTCAAGCTCTCAGTGGCATTGCCAACCCATTTCAGACATGTGTTCCTTGTCCGCTAGTTTCCCTATTGCATTGCAGCGATGCCAGGTGATAAAGACAGCTGTCTTCCAGCTTTGTTTCTGGAATGCCGGAGCCTTGCCAAACACCTTGCCTGCCTGGGTGAGCTTGTGCCAGAACTGATGTAGGAACATTGTTCACCGCAAATTAGGTGTTGGCGCACGTTATCTGATTTTCTTTCATCACAGCAATGGCGAGGACTGGCATCATTTGCAGAATCAAGCAAGATGCAAGGAACTGAAGCAACCAATGAGATGGCTTGTTGGATAGCTTCGAATGGACCCCACGCATCTTTACATGGACACTGCTATAAGCTGCCAGTTGCATCATCAAATTTTCAGGTGCTGGTGCAAGGAACATGCGAACACATGCGAGCTCACCTCAGCTTTGCAGCGCCGGACAAAGGATTTGAAGTCATTTTTAGAGCCGATGTTCCGCAAGCCTTCCTTTTACCAATTCCGAAGTTGGAATCGCAGGGACCCGGTTCAAAAAGAGCTACAAACGCGAGCGGGTATTGTTTTTCAGCACCCCATGTTTCCAGCAATGAGCTTCACAACCCCGCATGCAAATTGTAATATCCAACGTGGATTTGGCAATGCTGCCAGGAGCCTTTGAATCCGAGGGCATGTGACCCTGTACATAATATTATCGCAACTGGGCCTGGATAATTTCAAGCTGGGAGGGACTATACGGCGCTTTGAATTTCATTTTTTATGCATCCAGCAGCTCCGAGCATTTGTCGCTGCTATACCTTCATGTGGTCTTTTGTGCTTTTTTGAGTGGTTCTGTAACCGAGAAAGATGATTTTGTGTTTTTGTTGTTCTGATTCCTGTGCTGTCTTCATACATCCTGCGTCTAGCCCTGCATTCCTCTATAAAAACTGTGGCAACTGTCTGCATTGCAAAATGTGAGGTGTTTTTGTCCATCTAGTATTTGCTGATAGCAGGCATCCCAACCCGTTGATACAAACTTTCCTCGCACCTCATCGTTTTCAAAGCATGCCAAGTCTTGAGGCACTTGACGAAGCTCATGCCACTAGGTTTCAACGTGGCATGAGATTCGTGCTACGTATTGTGGTCTGTAAAATTCAACTCCAACATGTGGAATAGAACAGGGAATGTAAGGTTTAACGTCATCTCATGATAATTGTCGTCGTTGAGAGAGCCATTAGTGAGAGAGAGAGAGAGAGAGGTTACACAGCAAGTCAAGCTACTCTGTGCAATTGGCGGCTTGACCTGTATGAATCCTCAAGATTGGAAACGCTCCGAATGCGAGGGCACGTATGCAACATGGAAACTACCTAGACCCCTCCGTCATGTGCATTTTGTTACCTGTTGGACCTAGGCTCGCTGTCGGGGCATGTGTGGGGGCGAAAGTAGAGAGGGGTCAGGGTTAATTTGGTTTTTGAGCGCTTTAGCACCAGGTGCGCTTGCGAGAAGCAACAAGGTGCAGCCAGAACAGCGATGGTCCGGGGGTAGGGGAATACGGGGATGTAGGTTGGAATGTAGGCATGTGAGCTAGGGTTTGCAGGCATTCGATTAGCCAGGGGCGCAGGCGCTCGATGACACAAGACCATTCGCTGAGCTAACCTCTTTCTGTAGTTGGGGTAGGGACTGTCCGGGCAACACCCTAACGGCCTGAAAGCCAAAAGCCCAGCGGCAAGCAAGAACAAGCTCCCGAAAAAAGAAAAGTGAACAAGACGAGAAGCCTACGGGAGGGGCAGCCCAAAAGTAGTTACGCTGTTGGTGCTCTTGTCGTTGCCCCGGGTGGCCTGTGCAGTCAGTAGCCCGTAGCTGAAACAGCCTTGTAGCCAGAGCGGCATGAAGAGATATGCTTAACAGGGTCTTCTGAGTTGTGATTTGATCCTTGGGGTTGACTGCTGCCTGTTTCCTTGTTTGGGTGTGCCTCGCTCTGCTAGGCGGTATGTAGTTTCACAGCCCGTAGAGCAGGAGTCGGGTATGAAGCAAGCCAGGGGAGAAGGGCATAGCCTAAGGGGTATGGGGACTAGTCCTTAGCCTGGTTCATACCAGCTCGTTCCTCCGGGTGCCGACCAAGCGAAGCCGCGGACAGTCGGGTGCAGGGCTGGGCCCTGGGGGGGTAGTAGTACCCCCTTTCACCCTCAAAGAAAGAAAGAAAGAAGAGTGTGTAACCTCACAGCCCAACACGGGTGAACGAAAGAAAGAAAGAAAGAGAGAGAGTGTGTGTGTGGCGTAAGATGATGGGTCCGTCTGGCAGGATTGCTGGGTTTGTATGGCATTTTCGCGGGGAAGAACTGAAGGCAAGGGTATGTCACCACTTCTGGGCATAAGTAGGAAGCTTGCCGGCTCAGTGGCACGGACCTTGACAAGTGAAACTTGGACTATGGATCACGTTGCACATCATTTTGCGAGTTGTGCTGTCCTCACATGTCCGGAATTGCCAACAGCGCGATCAATCGGGCGCGGGCGGGGTCATTTCAGTGGCAGCCCCTCAATCCAGCAACTTGTAGAGTTACGTGAAGCCGCCCCCATCATGTTCCACTGCGGGTTGCTTTGTAGTGCACTGCCTCATGGCCACTATTTCGACTTAGGCACATTTTCACATTGCGGGTATGTTTAATCCCGAATGCTTGTTGTTGAAGCGCTGAAGCAATGCATGGGCGCAGACACCCGGTTGAGGCATTGCCGCGGAGACAGGGGAGCTGTGAGAAGAAGAAGAAGAAACACAGTCTTAGTCAGTCCTAGCAAGAGTCCTCTTCCGTAGCCCGCTGCAAAACCGAAACCTGGGCCATCTGACTCGGAATCTGTCCGCGGAAAAAGTCCGCAACTTGCCTCAAAGCATAAACTTTCCAGCAATCATTCCTAATTCAGCTATGCAGTCATGAGCCCATGTGCAAGTCCAAGCAACAACCTTCTCGGCTTTCGCAAGTCGCAGCTTTACGAAAGCATTTTGTTGAGGACCTTGGCATGTGCTACACCTTCGCTTGCCGGCTACGAAAGCTCTTGGAGGCTGGTTTTGGGGTGGGAGATGCGCTGCTCTCCGCGACCGTGGCCTGTCCTTTCCTGCAAGTCGTTCTTCCAAACAGGTGCATGTCTTGATCATGGAGTATCCCGGCTATGGGATTTGTCCTGGCAAGCCGTCAGAGGAGTTGTTGATGGGTGTGGCGGTGCATGTTTGTCGGATTGCGCTGCGCAGACAGGAGAGCCTCCACAAGGCGTCCCAAACTTGTTTGAGCTTTGTGACCGAGGCGACCCACTGGGAGACTGGTGCAAGCTTTCAAGCTTTCGAGCCCGGAGTTGTGCTTTGTCGTTTGCTTGGCGTGTAGGTGCTGCGCATACCGCCATCAGACGTCATCATCGTGGGGCGGAGTTTGGGTGCTGCAGTTGCGTTGCAGGCAGCTGGCATCTCAGAAAACGCAGGCAAAGCAGGCCTTCAGCTGCAGGATCAACGAAAAGCTGGCGAAACATGAAGCATGTCAACCACTAGTATCAACAGCTCAGCATAGCTCAGCATGTTTCGTAGGGATTCTGACCTTGTGACCTTGTCCTCGACTCAGGCTGCCGCCTCGGCTGTGTGCGGTCTGGTTCTAATCGCTCCATTTCTTAGCCTTCAGGATGCCCTGGGGCAGCTCCTTGGCATTGCAACGCTCAAGGGTTAAGCGAGTTTCGTGATATACCTAGATTATAGATTGCTGTTGATCGCGAGGTTCACAGGTAAGGCAGCTTCCAAGCTATTGGTGAACAAGATGTTCTGCAACCGGGAGGTCATCAAAGCAGTCAAGGCCATCTGCTTCTGCGATTCTGTAGGTGTTCCTTCCATGTAGCAGACCCTCAGCAGTTCTGGTGCTGGCTCGCAGCAACTGTTTTCGCAGCAATGAGTTCTGAATATCGTTTTATCCGGCATGAAGCTATGCCAGTGCTGAATTTAGTTGCAACGCTGGAGTGAGCGTAGCAGACGAGGTGTGTGTCAAATCTTTCCCGCAGTTTTTGTGTAGCCTGCATTGCAAGCATTCGCCCTGCAACAATGTCCCTGTCTGTTCGCCCGGCCGCGAGCATTGTGCCGCAGCGAGTGCGGTTGCCATGCAGACCAGGCTCCAGGGACATGCAGGCCCGGCGTTGTCAAAGGCACGGTGCTTGCTAGAGAGGTATGGATGACTACAAGTGCTGGGAAGGTGAGAAAGGAATCGCCGACCAGACTCCGTCTGAGCATTTGTTTGTTAGCAGCAGCTATGGGACGGCGCTGTACTGTGCGCTTTGCCAGTCCCCAGCAGAAGGCCATCCAAGTTGCGACATGCCTGCTTCAAACAGCCTCGTGCACTTCACTAGCTGACACAAGCGAGACTGCACTGCTTGCAGGAGGTTCCTGCAGATGAACTAGAGGAAACCAGTCCGGACACAGACAAAGAAGATGAGGAGGCTGCAGATGTGGAGGGGTCGTGGGCTTCTGACCTGCTCTTGGCCATTTTGCGCTTTTACCGGAAGTTCATTTCCCCACTGCTGCCCCCGAACTGCCGCTACGTGCCGAGCTGCTCAAGGCATGGAAAGACCAAATGCATCCATGGCTGTGTTCAAAGTTTGGAATCATTTTCCTGTTGGGGTCGAGGGTATGCCCGGATCCCAGTCCAGTGTACGCCGGTTCTTCTAGTTCACCTTTTGCCCCACAACAATTACTGCTGCCATTATTTTTAGATTATTACTACTACTGCTATTACTACTACTACTACTACTACTACTAGTAGTGGCTAGTAGTAGTAGTAGTAGTACTACTACTACTACTATTACTACTGCTACTACTACTACTACTACGACGACGACTACTACTACTACTACTATTACTACTACTATCACTACTGCTGCTACTACTACTACTACTACTATTACTATTACTATTACTATTACGATTACTATTATTAGTACTAGTACTAGCGCTACTGCTACTACTACTACTACTACTGCTGCTGCTGCTACTACTACTACTACTACTGCTACTACCGCCACTACCATTACTACTATTACCACTACTAGTAGTAGGTGTGCGGCTCATATTTGTTCACATGCTAAACTTCATTTTGAGTGCCGAAGCTGGTATTTTGAAGCAAATCCACTATTTCGAAGGGTCAACCACTGACTTTTACGTACGTGTTCTCTAGGGTTATGTTGGGGATTTGATATTTTGAGTTGTTGTTCCAAGAAGGCCAGAACAGGCATCTTTACTTCTATGACATGTTTCCCGGGGGAGTACAATGAAATTGCTATTCATTTCATTTTTTTTATCTCGTGGATCCATCTGTTTCCACATTTTTACTTCGGATTTTTCATTGAAGGGGCCCTTGGGGTCGCATATTTTTTGCTCTGTCTTTTATGTACGGGGCCTTTGGATCTCCGCACTTTTACTTTGCATTTTTCGAACGAAGCCAGGGGCATGGAAACAGTCGTCGAACGAGCCGAAGCTGGGGTTTTCAGCATGCGACTGTGTGGAAGGGAAGAAATCGAAGACGGAAAAGCACTGGAAGAAGCACGTCAGAAAACAAAGCTGATGGTATTTCCCTACCAACACAGGAAGGCGGAGGCATGGAACATGTCCTTCAACGTGCCGAAGCTGCAGTTTTTTGAAGCGACGAAATGGAGACGGAAAAAACTCCAAAAACCCCGAACCCGAAACCCTAGAACCCACAACCCAAAAGTGAGTGGCCAGATGCTAAAGCCTAAACAGCCCAAAATCCTAAAAGAAACAGTCAACCCAAACCCTAAACCCCAAACCTCAAACCCAGAACCCTGAGACCTGGATGGAATTCCAAACCCCAATCCGCACGGCAAGACATTAGACCTCCCTCAACCCAAGCCATAAACCCAAAACTCCTAAACCTTGACCATGAAACTTAGATGAGTTTGATTCTTCATCTAAGCACAACCAACCCGGAAGCCTAAAGTTTGATCCCAAACCTTAGAACCCTGAGCCCAGACTCAGGTGCATACCCTGAAGCGCTCCAAAACCCGTAAAAGGCTTCAACCAAGCCTTAACCCATCAACTTCTAAACGCGAACGCTAAACTCCCGATGAGTCTAATTCGTCGTTTGGGGACTACGAGCTCTAGACCCAAGGTCTAAACCCGAAACCTTAGCACCTTGATCCAACCCTGTCTTAACCCCAAGCGCTAACTCAGCCACAGCCCTGAACAACCTTCAACCTAAACCCTAAACCTGAAACTCCGACACCCTAACCCTGACACCTAGATGAGTTTAGTTCAACATCTGAGGAAACTTTAGAACCTAATGTTAGCTTGCGACAACACCATTTAAAGCATGTATCTGTGCCATTTTGGGTCAAGGTCCCAAAAAGTTTGTAGGGCTACACAGGACAGAGCCATGCAGTGGAGCACTCAAGTTGGCACAGTGCAAGGGCAGTGGCGCAACCTCCTGGAACAGGACCCGGACCAGGCCATACAAGCCTTAGCAGGTCTCAGTGTTCATGCTAGGGCCAGGGCCCGTGCATTGGTCACACTGGCGGAAAGACACGCAGTTGGAGGTGGACAACTTGTTGATTCAGGCCTCCAGGCTTTTCAGGAAGAGGAGCGCTACGTCGAGATCACTTCCTTTCGGCTTGGTCCACAGGTTCCTCAGGCACCACCAGGAGCTCCTCCACCCAGGGCGCCTACAGTGGCCACACCAGCTACTACAGGACCACAGGTGGCAGCACAGCCTAAGGACCCTCCTCCTCGCACTTCGCAGCTTGGGGCTTCAGCACCAGGTCCTCAAGACGGCTCAGGACCTCAGGTTTTGACAGGACAGCAGGATCCTTGGTCTGGCTGGCACAGTGGGTTGCTTGGTCAGGATGGCAGGCGAGTCGACTCTGCCTCAGCAGCTCCCGCCAGTAAAACCTCAGGACCTTGAGTCTACAACAGTGCAGATCAGGCGGCTGCTAAGGCTCGTGGGTTGCAGCCTGGTACCAGGTCCACAGCCCAGACTACCACTGCAGCTTCTGGTCGCAGGTCACCTCAGGCACCACCCTCAGAGCAAAGCTTGATGCCAAACATGAGTGGTGTGCCCTCAGCATCTTGGGGCTGAGACCTCAGCTATTGTCATGGGGCTCCGGTTGCCTTGTTGGACGCAGTGGGACTTGACGGAGATCTTCCGCCCATGCAGGAGTACAGGTGCTTTCAGCCGCTTCGCAGGCACCGACCCAGGACCATTTCTTCGGCGTTGGCTCGCAGGGGCTTTGTGCTAAATGGTTTCTGCCTCCTGCGCTGTTCTGAGTCCTGTGGTTTTTCGTGTTCTAGGCCAGTAGCTTTTGGAACACGTAGAGGTCATGCAAACCACCAGTGTCCCACCTGTCACCCGTAGGTCTGGCGTTTGCTGTGTCCAGGTTTTGATAAAACACATCCATCATGTACTCTGAGGATGGCAGCAGCGTACAGGCTTACAGGATTTTTCAGGTGCCGGCGCCGTAAGTGCCTCGGGCAACCTGCGTCAGTGACAGGTGTGAACAGCAGAGTGCGCTCAGGGCCTCAGGAGCCATAGCCTTCAGGTCAGCACTGTGTGCAGCACGGCAGGACCCAGGATGGTCTGCAGGCTGATCCAGCACGAGACGTGAGTAGTAAATATTCTGCCTTGCTTTTCGTGCAGTTGCGTCGTGTCAAAGCTCGTCTTTTACTTGTGCACTCCAGCCTGCTTTGCTTTAGGTCCGCAGCTTTGGTTCAGACGGGCTGGGTCCCACATCGGGGACTCTCTTTGCCTGGTCCCCGCCTGTTTACACTATGTAATTTGCAAGCACTGTGCCCTCTGGCAGGTGCTTGGGGCTTGAGTCCCGTAGACACCGTAGAACAGCTTGGGCTGACTAGTGGTCTGGCTTGTGCCAGGCCCGGACTGGTGTCCTTGCACAGAGAGGCGCTTAGTGCTTCTTTTTCCCACCTGCCTTGTGGCAACATGGCAGGTTGTCGTGGTGGGGAGGACCCTGTTCCTGGCAACCTCCAGCTGCCTGCAGGTGAGTCTGGCCTTGAGGCACGGACTGGCAGGCACAGACTTAGAAAGGGCAGATGTGGGCCGACCTCTTGTCAGGTGGGTTGGCGTAAACTTCTTACCCGCAGGACCACATTACTTCAACAACTGCATCTTGTGATGCAACCAGTTCCTACTCTGGCAGGAGCTGGTGGCAGCAGGTTCCACAGGTGGGCTTCGGCTTGAGCCGTGGGATGGCCCAGCTGGTTTGTTGCCAGGTCGGGCTCCCAGGCTGCCAGGGTAGCCAGGCCAGACTTCAGCCAGGTCGTTCTTGAAGCGTGGGTTTGGACGACTTTGTGCAGGCGCCATGTCGGGCATCTCGGATTCGGCGGTGACCTTTGCTGAACGTTGCAAGCGCTATGGCCTTTCACAGGCGAATGTAGATGACCTTGTACAGCGTGGAGTGTCCACGTATGGCCAGTTGCTCTTTAGCGTTGCCTCAGGTCCAAACCAGGTAGATGACAGCAAGCTTTGTGACCTTATCAGTGGTTGTAATCCCAACCTCAATGATTCAGGCAAGAGTGCCCTTAAGAGACTGGTCTTCGAGGCAGGCGCGTTTGTGGTGGCTGAACTCAAGGATGCCATCAGCTCTCCAGGAGTAGAGGGCGTCAAGCGCCTCACCCCTCAAGAAAGGGATTCCAGGTTCAACGCAGTCCAGGCCAAGTTGGGCAGTTTTCTTCTCTCAGGCCCGTATGAACCGGCGCATTCCCTGATTGACTCGTGTTCCAGCATGGCTGCGGCCCAATGCATCTCGTGTATCTCCCCCAGCAGGTGCGCCTCTAGGGAACAAGAGATATCCTCTGGAAAGAAGGAAGAACACCACTAAACAGCAGCCCATCAAGGTTGACATAAGTTCCGAGCTCAGGGTTGCCCAGGCTTAGGCAGCCACCCCCCGGCTACCAGGCGCCCACGATACATCAAATCCTCAGGGCGGATCGTGAACTCTGGGTGCGTGTGAGCGAGGTTGTTCGCCATCAGTTCGCAGGAACCTTAGGAACCAGTCCGGTGGATGACGCCATCAAGTCCATGAAGGACTCTGCTCAGGTTCTGTTCCATTTGCGCCCCACGCCTCTGCCCCCCAAACCTGATAAGAATCCGTGGCTGAAGCGTACATGGTCAGTCATGCAGGAAGGTAAAGGCAAGGGAAAGCCAGATAAGGGCAAAGGCAAAGGCAAGGGAAAAGGCAAGGGCAAAGGCAAAGGAGGACAAAAGGTTCAAACCAATGTTCCCTCATCGCTCAAGGGCATGGACCCGAACATGAATGGGGAAGCGATATGTTTCGATTATAGTCTCCCGCACGGGTGCCAACTCGAGACATGGGACACGCCCTTAGGCCGGCCTGCCGCAAGGGACTTCATGTGTGCATGAAATGTCATGGCCCCCGCTCTGCCAGTGGTTGTGACAAGTAGGAGCTTGGGCGGGGTGGCCACCACACAGGTCGCGCAGGCCCTCAGACGGCCGCCAGTTTTGATCAGGTTAGTGACAAAGCGCGTGATGGGACAATGGCCCAACACTCAGCATCTGCAATTTTCCATGCAGGTAGTGCAGGTCTCAGCGCAGACCCATTAAAGTGTACAGATCGCTCATTTTTCAAAGATTCGTTGCCAGAATTTGGCGTCCAGCATTCACAGTCAACCACAGCAGAGCAGGATGATCCAATGGCAGAGGGCGTCATGGACAGAGCTCCTCTACCTCAGGACTATTCCTTAACCACTCACACTGAGCCAGGTCCAGCTGTCGACTCAACCGGCTCTTCCTTGTCCGGCAGCGCTTCAGGATGCAAGTAGGGTGAGTGCGCAGGGTCAGGTTGGCAGCACCAGTGCACATGATGTAGGACCGACGGAGCAGCCAAGCCTCCCCAACCCTAACTTTCAAACCTAAACAACTTTCAACCCGCAGGCTAAACCCGAAACTCCTCAACCCTAAACCCTGAAGGCGAAACAACTTTCGACCCAAAGCCTAGACCCGAAACTCCTGGACCCTAACACTAAAGACTAAACAACCTTGAGCCCAAAGCCTTATCCTGAAACCCCTCAACCATAACCTTGAAA